TAATTAACAAAATATTTTCTAATACTTATAATGGTATGCTACAGACAAGGCATTGCTTCAACAGAAGCTGAAAATCATGAAACCATAAACGAGCTTGTAAAGAGGAAGAAAGCGTAAGTATTGGAACTAGCGACCGAATAGAATTGTTTTTGGTGTTAAAAGTCATATATACCTTTATGTAACTTCAGGATTTTAAAAATTGTCATGGGAATTGAAAAAAGCTACAAGGTTCACCCAAGATGGAGAATGGGCGAGGAGAAATTCAACGTGGCAGCATTGTCTGTTCTTCGGGATAGGCGAAACCAAGCATTAGAAAAATTATACTCACTTGCAGTCGAACGTATGTTCTTATTAAATTTGAAGCGAAAATATGCAGGTATTTTTTTTTTGCTATAACTCAAATTGTGATCGTTTGATGATCCAAGAATTATGCTTGGTTGTTTAGTTTAGGTTGGCACCATATAATTATCAATTAAGCGGACTAGTGATTCAATATAAACTGCCTTTTATTCAAAATGAAGGCAAAACAAAATAATGTAAACATTAAAAAGGCTTGCGTCGCGTAGACGCGTACGACCCCTTTAGTAGTCATATGTTATAATGGAAGTTGAAGTTCGTATGCTAATACTGCAATGGTAAAACTGTTTTAAGTTTTCAACATGTTTATTCACGGTGTGCCGTATCCTATGAATCGACATTACTTTCATTTGTAATGATGAGCTTTAATTTAAAATGGGAATTCCCACTCTAAGTTTGACATGACTCATTCGTTTGTGTTTTTTTATCGATTAATAGACGGCCAAGCAATTGCAGAGAAAGTTTCTAAGCAGATAACACAAAGGACGAATTCTGCTAAAGTAGTTGTTGAAAAGTACAACGCTAGCCTTGCTGCTTGGAAAGACAATGTAACTGGGTTGCCAGAAGAGCTAGAGTTTGACAAGGTAAAAGATCCAGAATCCGACCTATATAAGGATTTCAGAGAAAGCACTTTGAGTGAGGATCAAGTTCCATATTCTGTGAAGAAAAGCGCAATAGATTTGCATAATTTCATCGAAAGATGCAAGGAGGAAACAAGTTATTTGAAAACTGAAATGTGTAGGCTTGTTACGTATCACCAAACCCAAAAGTCAAGTTTTTTAGAATGGCTGAAGGACAACAATGACTCGTCATCAACCGTACTCATTCGAGGAATTCGGTGCATACTTCAAAGAAAGATTCTGGAAGAGGAAAACAAACTAATTGTTCTTGGTGCAACGTTTGGCAATCACCTACCAGATAATGTATCATCGTCCATTCCAAAAATCGAATGGAGTCATGAAAGCACCATGCCCTCTACCAAACACGTTTTCGAGAACTTGGATCAACTAGATGACCAAAGGGAACAGAGTGAAGAACAGGACGATGAGATATTGTCAATTTTAGACAGTTCAGATGACGAGGTTGAAGATGAATCTGAAATGGATTTCTAAATAAATGCAAAGCTCTCTGTATCATTTTGCATGATGTTTGATGTACATAATAGGTTTTTTAATTATATATCTTGTCTATACAATCTGATTTATTTTTAGTGCACAAGCATAGTCTCCGTCTAATGTGTGGAAACATGCATGTTTTAATTTATTAAAAGAAAAATTAAAAAATTATATAACAACAAATATTAAATTAAATTATTAAAACAATTGAAATAATTTGTCCCTCGCATATTACGCTTTAGTATAAATTTCCAGGTGACTATTGATTTTTCCTGCATCCTCATTGCTCAAAATTCACTGTGTTTGAAGTGATAGTCTCTTGTTGGTGAATATAGCTCTGTTGTTTTTTAAATAAGAAATTTGAATAATATTCTTGTATGTTTGCTTGGTGACATCAATAATTAAATTAGCTTGTGTAAGTGCACCACCTAAGTATTTTTAAAATACAGCAAGTTTAATGCAGTGTTAAATACTTACGTGGGGTACCTACAAGTTAAATTAATTAAGAAATTTGAAGTAATTATTATGTTGATTCAACTGTGTATCATTTTTGGTGATAAGAATAGATGTGCAAAGTTTCAAACAGTAATTACTTCGTGAAGTTTGAGTTCAATCACGCATGATCTGCTCTGACACCCTATAATTGCACCTAAGTTAGAAAAGCTAAGCCTATTTTTTTCATCGCGCACTTCCATTCTCTCAATTGATCTGAAATTTTAACTGTGTATAATTTTTTGTGATACAAATAGTTGTGCAAAGTTTCAAGCAGTAATTCCTTCGTGAAGTTATAATTCAAGCACGCATGATCTGCTCTGACACCCTATATTAATTACACCCCTAAGTTAGAAAAGCTGAGCCTATTCTTTCATCGCGCACTTCCATTCTCTCAATTGAGCTGAAATTTTAACTGTGCAGAATTTTTTGTGATACAAATAGTTGTGCAAAGTTTCAAGCAGTAATTCCTTCGTGAAGTTTGAATTCAATCACGCATGATCTGCTCTGACACCCTATAATTACACTTAAGTTAGAAAAGCTAAGCCTTTTTTCATCGTACACTTCCAATCTCTCAATTGATCTGAAATTTTAACTGTGTATCATCTTTGTGATACGAATAATTGTGCAAAGTTTCAAGCAGTAATTCCTTCGTGAAGTTATAATTCAAGCACGCATGATCTGCTCTGACACCCTATATTAATTACACCCCTAAGTTAGAAAAGCTGAGCCTATTCTTTCATCGCGCACTTCCATTCTCTCAATTGAGCTGAAATTTTAACTGTGCAGAATTTTTTGTGATACAAATAGTTGTGCAAAGTTTCAAGCAGTAATTCCTTCGTGAAGTTTGAATTCAATCACGCATGATCTGCTCTGACACCCTATAATTACACTTAAGTTAGAAAAGCTAAGCCTATTTTTCATCGTACACTTCCAATCTCTCAATTGATCTGAAATTTTAACTGTGTATCATCTTCTGTGATACGAATAATTGTGCAAAGTTTCAAACAGTAATTCCTTCGTGAAGTTATAATTCAAGCACGCATGATCTGCTCTGACACCCTATATTAATTACACCCCTAAGTTAGAAAAGCTGAGCCTATTCTTTCATCGCGCACTTCCATTCTCTCAATTGAGCTGAAATTTTAACTGTTCAGAATTTTTTGTGATACAAATAGTTGTGCAAAGTTTCAAGCAGTAATTCCTTCGTGAAGTTTGAATTCTATCACGCATGATCTGCTCTGACACCCTATAATTACACTTAAGTTAGAAAAGCTAAGCCTATTTTTTCATCGTACACTTCCAATCTCTCAATTGATCTGAAATTTTAACTGTGTATCATCTTCTGTGATACGAATAATTGTGCAAAGTTTCAAGCAGTAATTCCTTCGTGAAGTTAGAATTCAAGCACGCATGATCTGCTCTGACACCCTATATTAATTACACCCCTAAGTTAGAAAAGCTGAGCCTATTCTTTCATCGCCACTTCCAATCTCTAATTGAGCTGAAATTTTAACTGTGTAGAATTTTTTGTGATACAAATAGTTGTGCAAAGTTTCAAGCAGTAATTCCTTCGTGAAGTTTGAATTCAATCACGCATGATCTGCTCTGACACCCTATAATTACACCTAAGTTAGAAAAGCTAAGCCTATTTTTTCATCGTACACTTCCAATCTCTCAATTGATCTGAAATTTTAACTGTGTTCATTTCTCTGTATACGAATAATTGTGCAAAGTTTCAAGCAGTAATTCCTTCGTGAAGTTTGAATTCAATCACGCATGATCTGCTCTGACACCCTATATTAATTACACCCCTAAGTTAGAAAAGCTGAGCCTATTCTTTCATCGCGCACTTCCATTCTCTCAATTGAGCTGAAATTTTAACTGTGCAGAATTTTTTGTGATACGAATAATTGTGCAAAGTTTCAAGCAGTAATTCCTTCGTGAAGTTAGAATTCAAGCACGCATGATCTGCTCTGACACCCTATATTAATTACACCCCTAAGTTAGAAAAGCTGAGCCTATTCTTTCATCGCCTACTTCCAATCGCTCAATTGAGCTGAAATTTTAACTGTGTAGAATTTTTGTGATACAAATAGTTGTGCAAAGTTTCAAGCAGTAATTCCTTCGTGAAGTTTGAATTCAATTACGCATGATCTGCTCTGACACCTTATAATTACACCTAAGTTAGAAAAGCTAAGCCTATTTTTTCATCGTACACTTCCAATCTCTCAATTGATCTGAAATTTTAACTCTCTACAGTAATTGAACATCATTATGAGATGGTTTTGCACAAATAGAGAACTAAAGCAAAGAACTGTGAGTTATTGAGAAATTCATGATGATTGGACGTGAACTAGAAGAGACTTACGCCTGTATTCAAAAAGCTCACTCACACTCATACTCATCGAGTGTGACATATAAATTTCGTTAATGCTGATCAATGAGAAAGTTTTTTCTGAACAGATGGAAAGATATAAGGTAAATCACTGAAAATCAAGCCCCTGTTCGGCTGGAAATACCGCCATTGAAACGTTATGAGAAGATTAAGATCTCCCACTCAATTAGTTTGAGTGTTAGTGAGCTTTTAGAATACAGGCGGGCAGTTCCTGGGTAAGAACCTATTTTAGATGGATATAAACATCGTAGTGTAACATGAGATCTGTTCTAATTTGAAACTAAAGGGGCCTTTTCAAACCATGCATGTACACCTTTCATAGTTGGTAACGGAAAATGCGACTACCAGGATTCCATTAGACTGCAGTTGTTGGTTTGGTCCGGTTTGCACATAAATTAATACATTCTAGCAGCCGAAAGAAATAGCGGGCAATGTGATAGAATTTTTGTCGGAAACTTTTTGAGGTAACAGCTTTCAAATAGATAAGGCAAAATAATTTGATGACTTCACATTTCAAAAATACGCTCTATTGCAGGTGAACTTTTAATTAAATGCATGTCATTATGCATGTGTCCAGATGACTGATGATGACAAGGTCAAGGTGCGTTGACGAATCATTACAAACACAAATGCAAATGTAACGTAATAAGCCTTTAATAGAGTGAATGAACGCAGTCAGATATAGTTTCAATGCAACAATAACTATTAAAACTTATTCACACATATCCATAATTTTCCAAACACGCAATGACTCTATCATGGAATGATTGGCACACAACAACTTGACTCCTTCTCTTTAGAACGATCTTTCGTCTGAGAAGAATTGGTTCAGATGAACCATTTTCTTGGACGCTAATGATGTTAATGGCATTGATTGACATTTTCTTATTTGAAAATATTAACTCATACTGCCATTGCTCTTTTGTCTGATTCAACCAGTAGCCCCAAACTTCGGCATTTGGTTCCAGACTTAGCAAATTGGATATTTTTCCAGGATAATAGAACAGCCAGTACGGTTTATCCGACTCGGTATAGACTGGTATTATGTAACCCTCATGGTTACAAGCACTTTCATAGTTTCCTTTCAGGGAATTCCAGCCATCTTCAGTGAAGTACTTTCGAAACCTGGTAGTGAGATGTTGAAATTCTTGTTCGGTAATTTGCAAATCCTTAACCTCCAAATCTTTTTCTTCTATTGAATACTTGCCAGAAACGACTTCAGGTATCAGTTCCTTCTCAATAATTTTAGAAAGCAAGTTCTGAATGTCTGATGGTACAGATGTACTAGCCAGTGGGTCATGGGTTAGTTTTGAATCGTTTATGTTTCGTTCTCGTGTGATGTGAAAGATAATTTCTTCCGCATTCATCATTACTTTCTTTATCTGATCACTTCCATAATTGAGCGGCTTCTTAAAAATAATTCCTTCAGGCAGTCCAGTAACTGTAAAACCACCTTTTTTGTAAGGAACTCTACTGCCAGGAATCCCACATGCTTCACCTAAAGTAAAATAAGAGACGGAAGGTTTTGTAAGTCTTTCCGATTATTGCAATCTGTTAACAAGTTGATGATGTACATGTATGTACCTGATTTGGAAGTGTTGGTGAGGGAGGTGTGTGGGAAGGGTGTGGTTGAGGGAGGGGGGGGGGGGGCGACGGCTCGTCACAATATTTTTGTCAATGATTGTATTTACTACTCCATTATGACCAAACAAAAGTCCCTTAAACATATAAATTATAAATTAGCTATATTTTAGTTCATCAATACAAAATAAATAATTAAAAGCCATGGTAAGATATCAATCTACAAGCAGTACACACGTGTAGGCAATCCTCTCTCACACAAGCGATCATTATTTTGGAAATAAGTGTGGTTTATACAAAACACTTACTATATTTCTCGTTGAACAGATTCTGGACATCGGCACGGGTATGTTGTTTGTCTTCCGCCGGGCGATCTGTGGAATTAATGTTGACTACTTTACTACATGTACACTACAACAACTATGACACCAACAATACAGTATCAACAAAAGTAGTACAAACAAAACACACTGGAAACTCCAGGTAATATAGTCACTCAATTTTCCAAATGCTCCACTGCATTGTATTTAAAATTGTAAGGTACAAACTTAATAAATTACCGTAAATTATCTTATATTACTGGGCTTCTACATGTCAACTTTTAATAAAGTAGGAATTTGAATGTTTCAACATTTTAATAAAATCGAAAATTGATTATTATGTATAAAATTGAATTTCTGAATTGGTAAAACGCCTATTTTGTTTGGAGTCACTATTGTCTGATAGGCATAAGCTAAATTAATCTACAGTACATTTTAATAAATTACCAAAGAATTCCATGAACTTTATTGCCACTGCTTCGTTTTGCATGAGAAACTGAACATCTTTGTTTGAACCATGCTGATTGATGTTCCCACTTGGTTCTATCATCACAACAGCCACCTCGCATCCCAGGTTTTCCAGATAAGAAATCTTTAAAAAAAGTCTTTATAAATTGAATTGAAATTTACCACTTGGGTCTCCACACCATCTTGAGAAGCAATGCAAGCAGTGAATTAATTGACCATATTCCTTATTCTTCATCTACTTTACATACCTCTTTCATGAGATTTTTTTTTGTCTTGGCAATGTATTTTCGTCTTTCGTCTTCTCCCAGTTCTAGTGGACGTATTCTGTCAACCTGCTTGGCTTTGCTCTTCCAATCATTCTTTTCTTCAGCACTAAGAGCTTGCCATTGTGACGAAACAAATCTCATTTTCTCCGATTTTGAATCAATAGCCTTGCACAAGTCTATAACATAATGCAGTTAAACATATACATTCACTTCATTGTTATTTTAAACGAATGCAGAGGACACATACATAAATTAGAGGTATAAAACAGATTATACTCAGAATTGCAACCTGACTCCTTGTATGGCAGATAAAACAGCCAGTTGACTGCTAAATTTTGGTAAGCAAAACTCAATAACAAATAAAATTATGTTCTGTGAGTATCATATTAAATAAAAGTGTTTGAACTTTGGCATATACTAGTCTTGTTATTCCAGGAAATTTGTCATATTTTTTATGTGATGGAGTGTATAATTTGTTTATACAAAAGCCAGTGGCATGGGTTCAAATTCTAGCCGAACATTAAAAGTTTGAGAATCGTTGAGGAAGGTACTCCAACTGATTGCAAAAAGCTGTAAATGTTTAAGCCTCCATGTCCCCTCCAGGGGTTAATGAAAAATTGCAGACAAAGTCACAGAAAACTATGAGTAGGAATATGCACATATGGTTCTTGTTCTGCTGAATAATAAATAACATTTATGACATTTATTCAAGAATCATTCTATATTTCAAGGTACCATATTTTCTCAATTTAGCCCCCAGGGGCCTATATTACATACCTTAACTACCTACTATATCTAAAGTGTGGGGCTATGTGTTACCAAAACCATTAGAGGAATTTGAAGAGTCCTTTCTGGAATTTGAAAGTCAGAAAGATATTTTTCATATCAGGCAACAGTGAAAGAATGCAATACAGAACAAATTGCAATATAACATGAATTTTTGTAATTGAGCCAAGGATAGTGATTTACAGAACAGCCAATTTTCAATCACTTTCCACAAACATTTGATGCAAAGTGTGAACATGCACAAGTCAAATTCAGAAACCTTTTGTAACTGAAGGCTCTAATAATTTGTACTAGTGATTCAATCAAGTGCAAGTGATTTTAAACTGCATTTCTTCATTGTAAACATCATAATAGCATGAATGATTTTAGTACTATACAACTGTCTTTGTAACTTCTGGTCTGGATAAGACACTCTTAGATTTCACTGGTAAATACTGGTAGATGTTGTACTGTAGGGCTTTAAGGCTTATATCTTTCTGATGGTTTCTGAGAGGGCAGGCCCAAAAAATAGGCACCAGTCACTGTTTATTGACAGATAAAATTTTGCAGGTTCACTGGCAGATTCACTCACTTACTGGACATACTTGTGATCAGAGTAAAAAAGCAAAAACAATTGATTAAAAAGCTATGTAGTAGAAACAATATTTTTCATATATAAGATGTATTAGACTAGCTGGGTACCTACAATAATGCAATTAATGACATTTAACAAAAAGCAACAAGCTGTTATTTTATAACAACAGTAATTTGAATTTTATACAACAGTATTTTGTAATAACTTAAAAATGTTAACAGTTGATCAAAGCATTATCAAAGCATTCACGACTGGTAACTTTTATACATAGTTAATCAGACATAATGGAATAACGACCAACATTATTTGAGGCCTGTGAGGGGAGGGTTGCTAGAGGGCAGAAACTGCTGGAGGAGCGTTAAATAAAGGAGGATAGGGTATATGACATTTTTGCTGATGATAAGGAAGCATTTAATATTTACCTGAACTTAGCATGCTTGATGAAAATATGTTGTAGCCAGATGCTACTCTTTTAAGTGGAGGACCTATTCTTAGTACATTGTCATCTGAATCTTCATGCTTGTTTTCTTCTGTCCTACTTTCACCTAGCTTTCTCTTCCTTTTTTCATTTCCAATCCATTTCTACACAAAATTTCAGTATCAACTGTGAAATACAGTTTACAACTTTACACCTACCCAGGTGGTACTATATGTATAATACTCGGAAATTTAAAAACGCCAAAGATAAAGTATCTGACTCTTGGTTCACATAATACTGACAACAGTGACAGTCCTTATAAACTTTATAAAGCCTTTATTAGTTTATAAACTTTCAGTCGCCATTTTGAAAATGCAAATTATTTATTTAGACGTCAAAATCGCAAATGTCTAATAACAATTTTGGCTCATATACATACTTTGAACTTCATGTCAAGTCCAATCAATACAAGGCATCCTATATTTATATATTTAAGGTATTTTGGAAGTACATACCTTTACTTGGTCGTAGGTTGCCCCAGCTTGTTCAGCAGCTCTCAGTATTATTTCCTGCATATGTTTTGCCGTCGTGTTCATTCCATTGTCATAAAACGCCCTAAGAATGACCTTTTGATCATCCGTCAAATTGTTGTAGCTTCTAAAATTAGTGGCCATCAGCAATATTTAGAAATTTTGACGAGTCCAAGAGGTAAGCGCAATATACAGTGGGCAAGAATGCGCGTGAGAATGTATACACGCTCGTATATGCATGCTAATTGTGCGCTTACAAAATAACTCGTTCCCAGTACAGCAAACAGCGAACGTGTTAGATGGCTCAGATGATCATCCCATGTCACATATATCCGATGTTCTAAAACTTAGAATTCTCAATATATGTGATTTAGAACACGCGGAACGGGTGCTACAGTTCCCAATACTATATTAATCGCAGAATAACATACAATCTGTAAGCAGTTTTTAGACAATTCGACCTCCGTCTAAGAATTGTTTATTGTCACGGTCTAATATCTAGAGACACAATTAATCTATGGGATCACATTCTCCTCCAAAGTGAAAGGTTCCCGCTGCAGAATAATACTTAATTGAACGTTTTGAGGGTTTCTAAAGAGTTTTATGCCTTTTACAACTTTTATTCCTTCTGTGCGTAAAATCGGGTTTTTCCAGTAAAATATCCAGCAGTTAAATGTTGCATTTATCGAGCCAATGGTTTGTGCCCACATTCCAAAAAGGTGTGCAACATCTAAAGTCATTGTTTTCTCTTTCGAGCTAATCCTTAGTCCAATGTAGACAAACGTTGGAATGGACAGCGCCACAAAGCAAACGACTGCTAGCAAGCAACTCGATATATTTTTGGGAATAAATGCCTTTCTAATATTTCTTTCGTTTGATTCCTTAACTTTTGCACGACCTTTCCTTGCGATTTTAAACAGCTTGTAGTTCATGAACAACATCGGAGAAGCGAAAATAAGGAAGAAAATTAGAAGATACTCTTAGATAGATATGAACCCGTTTAGAATCATCAGCGATAAAACTACAGGGTGTATCAAAAAAAATGTCCCAAATGTAAAATTTCCGTTTTTCAGGATATTTGCAGAATTTGGCAATTTTTGTGTTCCTAGAGATAGTTAAGACTTATCTGGTATACCTAGGCCAAGTTTGGTTTTTCATTAACAAAATTATGTTACTGGGGGGGTGGTTTCTTTCCACTGATATTGAGAGGGCTTGCGCGCGAAAATGTGGAGCTGAAATTGAGATATTATTTAGCTGTCTAAAAGTAGGAAAGCTTTTTAATACACTGTCAAAGTTTCAGGAAAAATAATGCAAACTGGGAGCAACGCGCGACCCCTAAAAGTGACAAATATTTCATTGCGCGCAATGGATTAAATGCATGGTTGATTTTAGCGTGACCGATCTCATGCAAGGCTGGGCAAATGAATAAATTAAAGCGAGAAACTGAACAAGAAGACGAAGCGATTTAATAACAAGATTTTTATTCTTGATGTCAATCCTCAACATTTCTACCATTTCTTTCTAAGCAAACTGCGGCTCGTCTGAGCATGGTAAACACTGAACGGCGAACCACATTTGTCTGTCCTGCCTCAAATTATCCATTTCGTTCGAAATTCTTTCTTGCAAATCGCCTACGCTACCACCGGCAAATCTAGGCGAATGGACAGACAAATGGTTCGCTGTTCAGTGTTTAGTATGCTCAAACAAACCGCAGTTTGCTTTAATGAAATGGTGGACATGCTGAGGATTAACATCACGATAAAATCGCTTTGTTTTGTGTTCAGTTTCTCGCTTTAATTTATTCATTTGCCCACCTTGTATGAGATCGGTCACGCTAAAATCAACGATGCATTTAATCCACTGCGCGCAATGAAATATTTGTCATCTTTAGGGGTCGCGCGTTGCTCCCAGTATGCATTATTTTTCCTCAAACTTTGACAGTTTATTAAAAAGCTTTCCCACTTTTAGACAGCTAAATAATATCTCAATTTCAGCTTCACATTTTCGCGCGCAAGCCCTCTCAATACCAATGGAAAGGAACCACCCCCCCGGTAACATAATTTTGTTAGTGAAAAACCAAACTTGGCCTAGGTATACCAAATAAGTCTTAACTATCTCTAGGAACACAAAAATTTGCCAAATTCTGCAAAATATCGTGAAAAACGGAATTTTTGCATTTGGGACATTTTTTTTGATACACCCTGTATTTGAACAGATATCAGCGTTACAAGAAGCGTCAAAAGTTTACTCTTCGTTACAGATGTTCGATGAATGAACGGGTAATATGTCGCCAAATATCGATCAAATGTCATGACCAACAGAGCGAGCATGGAAAAAATGATAAAAACAGACGACAGAATGCGTGCCAACCTAGCACAAATAAAATTTACAGTCAACCATAACATCACCTTATAAGCTATAATGGAGTGATTAGTTACGACCGCAAGCAAATCGCAACAGGACAAAACCATGATCATGAAATAACATAATTTCTTTCGAAGTTGCACTGATCTCCAGAAGCTGATTATCACCAAGCAATTTAAACATATTCCCGAGAGAAAGAAACATATGTTGACAAAGAACAGGAATATCAGGTGTAAAAAATATCTGAGCTCCATCATCATGGGTTCCAACTAAACGGAGAAAATATAATCTGATGCAAGTACTTAATTATTCCGAATTTGTCCAATGTAGATTTTACTGAGTTAAGATTGTACGCAGCCCTCTGGCCTCTTCAGCTCGCCAGAAATGGCCACAGGTATGACTGAAATTTACCAGCTTTACGTCCTTATTCAATGCCTTAGTTGTGGCTTGATGCTATTGGATCTTGAAAGTTTAAATGTTCGAAGAAGCCGTTTATTTATAACATTTGCATACATATATATTATATATATATATTATATATATATATATATATATATAATATATATTAGATATAGATATAATATATATATATATATATATATATATTATATATATATATATATATATATATATATATATATATATATATATATATATATATATATATATATATATATATAAATGAATACGTTAAATGGTTTCCAAAAACTGTCCCACACGAGAAATATCTTATTTACAGTAAAACTATAGGCAGCCTGGTGAATGCAGCTACGTCGTACTCATGCATATATAATTTTTTCTAAATGCTTCCCATGCATGCGCTCACGCGTTTCTCTTACGCACTTTCATGCACGGCATACTTTAAATGCTTAAAGTTAAACGTCAACAATTGCATACTAATATATGCGGAAAACTAAGTTATAAAATAATAAGTTTTTTTATTTATTTCTGATTTCTCTTATGTACAATTTTATGAATATTACAAATGATTTTATTTTATTTGAATAATGTTAGGCTAGATATCTACTAGAAACCTATACAGGCTTTTGTGTCTAGCCCCGTAGTGATTATACTATTTTTAAAAATGTCCACTGTAGAACCAGAATAATCACAAAAATGATTTTTTATAGTATACTATTTACAAAAAAAAAAGGGAAACGAGTGAAGAGTAATGGAGTAAGAATAATTGCAGTCCAGATATAACTCAAGAAGTCATATTTTTTATAAAATAATATGTATATAACGCGTGTTCTCATTGCTCGAGACCCGTGTTTGGATCAGGCCTTTTCCAAACATGGAAATTTAATTCGCTTTTTGAAATCAAACTTGGAACACTACCTCGTTGTTTTTATTTTATAAAAGAATTACTTAATGGTTTCCCGTGTTTGGATGAGATGATCCAAACACTTGGGAATGTTGCTTGAGCTAAGAAAAGCTCTCAAAATCACTCGACTTCGGCTCGTGTTTCGCGCGCTTTTCCGTCTCGCAACATTCCCGCGCGTGTTTGAATCAGGGCATCCAAACGCGGAAACGATTAAGTAATTGCATGTTTATTCTTTCGACCTATTCATATGGTTTTAAGGCGGATTTCTACTTACAGCGAAATATTTTCGCTAGCGAATCATATTTTCTTTTAAATTGAGAACAGTCAAGTCAAACTAATTTATTTATGCTGTTAAAATTCAAAAGAAAATATGCAAATATTTCGCTGGCGAACGATTTCGCTGTAAGTGGAAATCCGCCTTTAGGTTTTTCAAACTAACATATAAGGATTTTGACAGGGCCGTAGTTAGAAGCTTCATTTGAGGAGGGGGTGTAATTCATATATTTCCTTTATTGACTGCATGTGAAAACGATGAGTTTCTAAATAAATGAGGAATTATGATAATTTGTATAGCGGCACTAAGGGCTAATTTGCATCATATGCTTCGTTGTTAATGCGAAACCCAAAATATGACAACCAAATTGCAACAAATTACAATTTACGACATTTAAGAAAAATGAATTACGACGAATTATGACGACGTTATCTAATGAAAATCAGCTTTGAATCGTCAGGCAGGCTACGCGATTAATTACTAAACCTATGTAATTTGGGCATCTTTAATTTATTTACTAATTAAAAATGTTGCTTTATATATGGTAAATATAAGACAAAATTCAATCCAGCAAAAATTTCCTGTCTTTCGAAATTGGCCGTTGCATGCTGCAGAATCAAGCGCTTTGAATTGTCGTCTACATATTTTCATTTTTTAATAACTTGAAATGTGGTATTTTGAACGGCCGATCCCGAGGTTTTCTCCCCTCTCGCCCACAGCCCCAACACCCCATGATAAAGACCCAAAAGGCCCTGGGAACGAGGTTGTATTCCTATCGAAATTTTTGCGAAACATAGGGGGGACGCGACGCAAGTCAATCGACATCGGAAAAATCATGAGAATATAATTTTTATTGGCTGTTAAGAAAACTGTGTATGTTAAACAATA